AAAGGTTCTAAGCCGTGAACCCCCCAAGCCACTTCGACCGGTAGAACTAAGATAACAGTCAACATGGTGTCATCAGCTCAGTAAAATCACCTGCTCAGAAGCTTCTGTTTTTATTATATATCACTCAGGTTGGACTGAATTCGAAGGGGCCAGTCGGAAGGAACTAAAATTACCTTTCGCTTAAAATAGATGTAATGAACGGAGTTTGAATACATTGCACCTTTAGCTTAATCGTGAAATATTACCTGTGGTTCTGGTTTTTATTAGCTCTAAATACTAGATGTTATCTTGTATATCTTAAGTGGAGTATCTTTATTTACATCGACAGCGATAAGCTTGGATAGGCTTCTTGCGCTATTACTGGGACTGAAGTACAAACTAGCTGTCACTTTTAAAAGGAGCACGTTTCACTGTCTCTATGATTTGGATCATAGGAGTTGTATGTGCTATACTGTACTTATGGAATGACCAGATACCTTTAACGTATGCGTACGTTTGCACATTGATCTGTTTTAGTTTCGTCACCCTCCGACATCGGCAAACACAAGTTCAAGACCTTATTAACCAACACGCGAACCCACCAAGCCCAATGAACATAGCTTTAAATAGAACAGCAGTGGTCAGTACACTATGGCTACAGATGACCTTAGTGTGTTGTTACCTGCCACACGGAATTATGTCGCCCTTGCTGCGTCATAGTGACGTGTCCGCAGCTGCCTCTTTCGATAGACATTATTCGCAAATTCGACCCGTTTATCTATTTCTTGACGATTAGGGAGGTGCGAAAAGTTGTCAGGGAAACAATCAGCAACCTTCTGAATATTCAACCACAGAGGGTGCACAATCCATCAGCGACAGACCAGTAGGAGGGAGGGGTGCAACGGGTACGTACGCACACTCCCACGGGCTGCGAAAGTCTTTTTACTAGCTTCCGGCATTACAAAAAAGGTTAAATCAAGGTAACTGTAATACTTTCGTCCTGGCTCGTTTATTTTATAGTTTGAAATGGAACCTAATTAAATGCACTTTTTCATTTTAATACGTACGAAATACAGTCTCATAAGACCTAATTTTTCCGGGGAATATGCAGCTGGACTTCTCTTGAATCTCACATCTCTGGTACTCGTTAATAGGTGCCTTTGGCCCTCAACTCCTCCCCCCCCCCCCCTCCTCCCTTTAATGCGCAAAACCTATTTACGGGTTTGGGCAAGAATGGAAATCACGCAACGTACAACTGGTAACTCATAATTCTGTTCTATCAAAGCACATCAGTGATGTCAACTGTCACCTCTTCGACCTCTTCACTCTCCACCTCTCTTCATAACACTTTCGCTTTCCCAGGATAAAGTCCATTTACTTTCCGCGAAAATTTGCGCCGATATTCCTCTGTTACCGCATGCGATCGGTTGATGACGACACACACCGTAGAAACTTCACCCCAAACTTTAGATCAGGAAATTAAAAAACAGGGGAACTTGGATAGAATTTCTTTCTCGTTCTCAATATAATAAGCCTTTGTTGACAAGCTTCACTTTGCACCACTGTTGAAATTGGACTCGAAGATTTGAGTTGCTCGTTACTGATAAGTCGATAAGATGTCATTAATAAACATTATGGAAATAGGACCGAGTGGAGTCCAATTACGTTTGTAATCATACAAGTGATGACAAAATCGGACGACCGCGCAGCGGAAGTCCGATTTGTTTACCACAATTATGATTACATACTTAATTGGACAGCACAAAGTCTTTTTATCAATTAATCGTGAAAATTACAATTACCGAGTAAAGAAGAATAGCCAAGTCACGAAGGAAAAGGGAAAATTTGTATTAAAGGACTGACAAAGGAGGCGTGATTTGTTTGATGTCGCTCTGAAATTGACTACAATCAAAATGAATGTGATTGGTTGATTTAAAATAGAACTTTGAATGTGATTGGCTTATTGAACTGTGCGATAACAACTTGGCAAGTAAATTAGTGAAAAATAGGAGTTTTTCAAAACCAATCCCAATTGAGGAAATTGTCATTTTATGATTAAGAAAGTTATAAAATATATGTCATCGTTATGCTAAGAGCGCCCAAACTTTATTTTGATCTTCCCCTTGTCGATCAACGACCACACAACGAGATATCTTAGGTTTCCTGCGTCATAAACAATCAGAATTCACGATCAAGTGTTTCTTCGATTTATATGCCAAAAACTGATAATAATATTGAATAAAGATGTATTCTTAAATTGAGCTAGAAATTGTCATTGCCGTTTTATGATTAAGAATAAGTCTTTAGAAATGACGTACAATATCTGTACAAGAATTCTGTTGCTGAAAGGACATTCTCATGATGACCAGCTGCTATGTCATCGTTATCTTCCGCCAGGTCGGAGATGAAGATAGGATCCGCTTGAGTTGGCACGATTTTGCTTTCAATTGCTCTACCCTCATAGCCGTCGATCAACGACCACACACCGAGATATCTTGTCCCGGAATTTAGAGTCGGCCTCATCCCTGCTGCAGAATATCAGGACAGTGTTTCTTCGATCTCAATATAAAAGCCTTTGTTGACAAACTTTGATGCTCGAAATAATATTCCGAATGAAAGATAAGATGTCTAAACATTATGGAAATAGGACTTGCGAGTGGGGTCCAATTACGTTTGCAAGATGAAAAAATCGCCGACCTTTGATTTGTTTCATTATGGGCTAGAAAAAAATTTAAAAAACTGGTTAGGCATTGCCGTACAACAGTTCCTGAGTCTTGACCTTTCCAAGATCACCCGCTCTGTCTCCCGCGAAGAATAACGTCTTTAGAAAGGCTTGATCACTGATCAATACAAAGAATTGGGTTGCTGAGAGGACATTCTCATTAACCTGTTGACCAATGAAAGCTGCTATCGCCGCCAGGTCGGAGATGAAGATAGGATCCGCTTGAGTTGGCACGATTCTTGCTTCCAATTGCTCTACCCTCATAGCCGCTAAGTAGTCCTTTTTTCTTTTCTCGATATGGCCTATATCTACTGGCACCTTTTGTGGCAGGAGCATCGATCCTAAAGCCTCCCGAGGCTTGTACCCACATCTTTGGCAAAAGCGAAAATCCTCGTCGTTTGGATAAACAAGGAATGTAATAACGTGAGCCCACACAGCGCATAACAATTCTTCTTTTTCAATCACATATACCCACAGCGAATCAGGCTTTAGACTGACGCGCTAGTCACGTGAGCCCACACAGCGTATCACGATATTTCTACTTGAGTCTCATGAGCCCGCACAACGCATCACGATTACCATTCTTTTGTTACTCATAGCGGGCGTAACAATTCTCCTCTTCAATCACATGAGCCCACACAGCGCGTCACGATTATTTTCTTTTGTTACCCACACAGGGCATAACGATTGTCCTCTTTCAATCACGTGAGCCCACACAGTGTATCACGATTACGTATCTTTTGTTACCCACACAGGGCATAACGATTTCTCTCTTTCACTCACGTGGACCCATCCAGCGCCTCACGATCCTTTTCTTTTGTTGTCCGCACAAGGCATAACGATTCTTCTCTCTTTTTAATCACGTGAGCCTACACAGCGCATCACGTTTACTTTTGTTTCGTTGAATCGCATAGGCCCACACAAGGCATAACGGTTTCCTCTTTAAATCACGTGAGCCCATATAGCGTATTGATCACGGCTGTAACTTGAATTACGTGAGCCACACAGCGCACCACGTTTGGTTTTTTCAGAACCCAGCACACGAGTTTCCCGATCTAACTTACATAGGGTTAATTACAAATAAACTTAAATGCTCCCCAAACGGCCACTCGCTTCCTAACGAGAAAATTTACATCATGGAGGAACCAGCAAATCAGAGTTAAAATACATTCTTGCAAACTAAAGAAATACATTTGAGCTTAAATCTTCCGGGAAAACCATTTCCAACAAATCTGCATAATTATAGTCTCGTTGTGGAAACAAAAACAAACATCCTATGCTTTTGATTTAGTATTTTACGATCAATCTTTTGATATCTTTCAGAATCTTTGGATCCATTTTTCAGGATTACGAATCTTTGAGGGCTGTAATTTACTCGCTTATTTATTAAAAGGAACTAGAGCTTGTCTTATGACAAAGCCTCGCCGTTTTGTCTTTTTTTTTTCTTTTTGTACCAGTTCAGGCGCCGTGTCCTCATACGCCATGTTCACTAGGACACCTTGAGCTATTTTTTTTTTTTTTGTTTTTTTTTTTTTTTTTTTTTTGGCGAACTCAGCAAAGGCAAGCGTGACAATGCAGGCGCTACAAGGACCAACTGAAACGACAGCTGGCTCAGGCTGGTGTTGACCATAAAGCCTGGCAGACGCTCGCATCAGAAAGGGTCAAATGGAGGTCAGCTAACAAACGCGTAGCTCAGCAGATCGAGGACTCTAGAGTGAACATTGCTAAGGAGAAACGCAAGCATCGAAAGGAGTCGGCCAATCAAGCAACGTCTTGCAGCAATCGGACCTTCCCCTACCCCACCTGCTCAAGAATATGTAAATCCCGAATTGGACACATCAGTCATCAGAGGGCATGCCGCTGATCTTCGGAGTACGAAGAATCTGCCATCATCATCTCCAGTTCTTCCACATTTATTGTTGTTGTTGTTTTTTTTTTTCACGAAACTACGCTGTTACTGATTTTCTAGTGTGCGATAAAACATAAATCCTATCGTCTGAATGAGAGTAGATCTGGAAGAACTGCTTTCTTTGAAAGAGGCTGACCACTCCACTTATAGCAAAAGTCATCTGCAGAGTCCAGGAAACAGTTATTTGCCTGAAATATATATTTCTGGCTCGTGGAAACTGATTGGTCAGCCGCTGTGATGTTGTTTGTGAGTGCTGTTAGTCAGTCCTCGGTGTTTGCGTTCTTCGCTGTTGTCAATGTCGTGAATGAGTTCTCTGTGCTAGTAGCTGCTTACAGCTCTTTCAATGAGGAGTCTAATTTACCAATAAGCGCCCATGTTCTACTATGCGCCTTCCCCCGAGTAAGCGCCGAGCCCCCGATGCCATGATATCAAAAAAGCGCCCACCTCGAATAAGCACAGCCTCTTCCCTCGCTTTCTTAATGAGTAGGGAAACAAGGAAAATCGGTTTCTATTGCAGCTTTATTTGTAACTTTTTAAGGACCAACCACAACCGAATCAGTACAGGAGAATAGTTTCGCTTCTAGTTATTGCTATCGCCATACTGACTTGACGTCTGCGTGGATGTTGCAGCTTTGTTTTTTCTATTTAAGATATAGCCAAAATAAGGAAACAGTTCGTTGAAAGGAAAACTTAATAAGCACGCCCTAGATTAACCACCATCCTTCGTATAAAAGTGCCTCTCCTTTTGCCGTAATTTTAGATACGCTGCCCGGACGCCTATTCGAGGAAATACGGTATTACCTAAATTATGTCTTGTGATGTCAGTACAAGCATGAAATGCTGCTGAAAGTGATGCAAAGTGATGCTCGTCTACTGAGGCATGTGTTGAGGCCGATGATTAAAATTTTCCTCCAGTTTCCTCAGTTTGTGGCGGTCCTGGCTTTATAAAGTTGCAATTAATTTACATAGTATCTACCTATTCTCCGTAAATGACACTTGAAAGACAAAAAACAAATAACAAAAGAGCTGTGAATAATGATTAAAAGCTTATTGACTACGGTGAAAGTTTACACAATGCTTTCTTGAAGAAACGTCTGGAAATTAAGAATCTTTGGTTTCTACTTTAATATCATACGTTCGTAAAATCTTTGAAATTCTTCGAGCCTTAAGACAGGCCTGTTAACTTCTATTGAATTCACAAACAGACGGTAGACCAAGGAGTAGTTGCTGTGATTGGTCGACGAAATCTCCTTCGAGCAGTGGACGAACATCTCAAGATGGTAGACAGAGAATGTTCTGAATTTTCTTCTACTTTCACATTGGAAGCAAAGAATCAGGAGCCACATTACTGTTTTCGTCATCTGTAACACTCAATAACGTTGGAAAACCCGATGAAGATGCCTCTATCAGGTGGACTGAGGGTTAATACAAAAAAAAAAAAAGATCCTATGTCATTTTTAAAGAAACCAACCGAAAACAGATGTGTATGAGTAGATGGAAACGTTACAGAATTAATCTCCTGCTTATTTGACACCATCGATGTCACATGGCGTATACATCGAATAAGAATTTCTGGGTTACAACAATTATCTTAAGCGAAAGACATGACATTACCCACCAGCTAAAGTATCTTTTTCCGTCATATGTTCCGTTGTGTTTAAGGCAATACCGCGGTAAGTCTTTCCCTGAATAAAGAGAAAAAACTTTCAGTTATCTAAAGTAAGAGAAAATCAATATAAAAGGCGAGTCTTATTTACTAAATCTAAATGCAGGTTTAGTTTTACTATGAATGAGGGGAGAACCTTTTCCCACAAACCTTCATCATGAAAGGACAACGTTTCGATCTTGGGGCGGATTATCTCGGTACTAAACCTCAATGAGTACCCTCGTTTTATTACCTTCAGAATACATTTCCATGATGCCTATCAATGTTAGTGCTTCAGGACAGCTCCCTAGACAGTGCGTATAAAATAGCAAGATAGAAACGAAAGATACCTGATACTTACAGCAATCGATGTACAGTCTTTTTAAAAATTTCAAATTCACGAACTTATTCACTTTTACATTTACTCTTACGTAGTTCTATCAAAACATTTCAATATTCATATATCAATATTCACCTTCACCCGGATCTAACTCTACGCCGAGCTGATTTCCAAGTGTAGAGACAGGTCCGACGTACCTGACTGTTCCTCGATATTTCTTGCCCCGAAATTCAAACAATACCTTCATACCTACTTTAATATCATTAATTGATTTAGGCTTGAAGCCCTGTTTCATTGTATCACCTGTAATAAATAACAAAAACAATAGATAATTAAAACGATCATCAAACTAAATACATCACGATTATCAATTAGACTTCATTGATCTTTTTAGGTCACCAAAGGCCAACATAACCCAGTAGTTTTACTCGGAGTTTAAATGACTTAGCTCTGCCTAACATGAGCTTATGAGCGAATCTACACACCAGTGCCCCCGTCCCCCATCCCCCCCCCCTCAAAAAAAAATCCTATCAAATACTCACTTGTGGGTAATAATTTGTCAGATACGAGTAAGAGTGTGATTATTGGTAAGACTACTATTTTTCTGCATATAAAACACACGCAACCCAAAATTTCACTATTCACTCTGACGAAGGGCTGCCAGTCAAAACGTCAGCTTTAGAAATTCTTTACGGTGGCCAATTTACTTCATCAACTCAATTGATAAAACCAAGATATCTTACTATACCCCCATTAACGCAGCGCCTTAGTTTCTTCAGAAACTTACCCTCTTCAACCTTGTCATTATTTGCCTCTATCTTGTTTTTCATGCCCTTGGTTTGGTCGGTCGGTTTGTCCACCAGCACAGCTTGATGTCGATCCTGGCCTGTGGCCTGTGAGGCGTTGGCTATCTGCTGTGACTGTCATTCTTGGACCCTGCATGAGATGATTCAAACGTTAAACTGGCTATCTGCTGTGACTGCTCTGTACTTTTGGCCACCAATGCTTGGCCACCATTCAATCTGTTGTGACTGATTATCAACTGCTGTGACTGATCATTGAATATGAGATGTCAATTGCTCAATCTGCTTTGACTGATCTTTAACCTGATTCTGAGTGATCTCAAGGCTGCACAGAACTAGGTTCAAGTGGCTTTCCATGTGCGATTCTAAGTGAGATTTTGTTTGTGTTCTTGGAAACTGAAAAAAAAAAGACCATGTGGTTAGTAAAATCTTTAAAAACAATCCTAACATTCAATTTTTGTCAATTTTTTATCTAATTGTTCCATCCAGCAGTGCACAGTTTAATTCAACTACCACACTGCTTAGTAGGAATTTTTTAAACCCTACAAAATGAAAAATGTATATACATTTGACAATCCGTTTTAATTCATTTTACAACATGATTTGCAAATACAAGTTACGACCTCCCCGCCAAACCTGCAATTTAATATAAACTGAAAGCCGTTTCATACCGCATTTTGGCATCCTATGTTCTTGTATTTACAATCAATTTCTGTTAAAGGACAGTCATCACGAATATGAGCCAAGAGCTAAAAAAAAAGATAGAGAAGATTTAGTCTTATGTGAGCAGCCACAGGAATCTTCATTCGTGCATAGCGAAAACAAATCATTCGGCGTCTCAAAATTACTCCTTAGATTTCGTAATGTATGAATCAGGAAACTGAATTCAGAGACAAAATTTAAAAATGTTCCCTAGTAGTGTAAGGCATTTCCCCTCCAAAGTTTAACGGAGCAAACTTCCTTGAAGGAATCGTTACGGTGTTATGGATTGTTTCCCTATCATAGAGCTACCTAGATTAAATTCTGGCAGCCCATTTAAGGCAGAAAATGATGACCTTCATGTCTTCTGACTGAAGCCAGGAATATATTCAAAACAAGATTGCATGTTCTTTGACCACTTGAGCACGGAACGTCTCCAAATTGCTCACATAAAACAAGACTTAGCCTGTGGCGTTTCAGATAGCGCAGCAATATGTCCCATGCGGGCTGTGTGCATGAACATTCAGTTAAACTCTCGTTAGAATTACTGAGAATCACTGAGAATATAAATTTTACCTTTTCTCGTGGAATATTACTCAGACCACAATTGTTGGCACATTGAACCGGAAACATTTGACAGACGTTATGATGTTGCTGAAGAAAATCGAAAAGAAGTTTTTATAGCTAATGTACTTTCAAAATTCTCTCCGTCTTATTAAAATTATGACCAATAAAGACAGGTTGTTGTACTAACGAAATTTATGAAGTAAAATACCCACTTTTTTATCAGTAAGGGATCAAAGTTTTCGAACGCAACATTTAAGCCCAATTTAAGTAAGATGTTTCCGTGTAACAATTTTATATCAAATAAGAGAAGATACCTAGAGCTTAACAAAATCTTGACTTAATAAAGATTGAAATTCGTCACCACTTTCAGATGCTACCCTTGTAGAAGCTATATAAGAAATACGTTTTTGTTAACAAACCTGCTTGTTTTTCACGATAAATGATCCTCGACAATATTCACAACTAACTTCCCTCCAGACACATTCCGTTATCATGTGATTGTTCATATCTCGCCTGGTGAGCTTCTCTTTACATCCTTCATTTGGACACTCCACCACTTTGAACAGGCATTCTGACTGATGTTTCTGAAATCATAATTTATCGATAATAAACTGCAATGTAATCATGATCCAATCTGCTAAGACATACAACAGGCTAAAGAAAAGAGAGACTTGATTGACAGCGAAACAATCGATTAACTGACGGTTTAGGATCTACGAAAAGAAATGTGAATGTTACGTGTGACTTATTGATAAAAAAGATATCCCTAAGACTAGTGATAAATATTAAATAAACGTTTAGTATAACAGGCACCTATTAAAGATTATCAGACAGGAAGAAAATCTGTCATGTCGCACGCAAACTGCTGACCACGACACTTCAGATTGCAAATACTAAAACAACACCGCTATTCAGTCCAGATAGTTACTATTGTGCAAGAAACTGTTTAGTTGAGCTCCTCAAGTTACCCTTATCTGCTTCGTATAACATCATGTCTTGCTGCCTCGATGGTTAAGAGTAGCAGGAATAAGTGCAATGCATGCTTGCTTATTATGTAGGAGACAACTTAAGAGCCGGTGTCAACATGCATCAGACAAACAGCGGCAAGTCCCCAAAATTCGTTTTCTCTCCTGCTTTCGTATTTTGTAGCCCAATATTTCCTAATAATTGTGGTGTAGTTTTTTTGTGAAAATATATTTTAGTTTTCGAGAAATGATTTTTTTCGTTCGACCGCTCAAATATGCAAATTTTCACCCTGAATATTACCCGAGTTGTGTGAAATCATGTAACGAATTTACTTGACCTCCGGTATTTCTGTCAACATAATCCTTTGTTTTATTATCTAAACTTAATCCCCTGTCATTATTGAAGCTGGCAAAGAAATATTTTTATTTTTTGGTGAATATTTTTGTCCGACATACTTTTTCTATGTCGAAAAGTAGCATCAAAACAAAGACAGTTTTAACAATGACCGATATGACAGAATCTACTGAGCTTCTAGTTTTTAAAAGAAAAAAGGATGGTTATAAAGTTACTGTAAAAATTTCTTTGTGTATTTGTGTCGTTCTATCGTGAGACGAATTCAAAGTCCGGCAAAATTTACTTGCTAGCGACTATGAAATGTACATGGTGTACTTACTTGTCGCCACCGTTTATTGGCAAAAATCACTACAATTTGTTAAAAAAAACTAACACCCTTACCTTGTTTATGTATGATTTTATAAGAACAGTAAGCTGTTTCGGTTATTAGATTACGCTTGGGTATTACTTTTTGCCAGAGGCCCAGGTTTTACGTAGTGTTTTCCCCTACCCCATGTATATCATAAGCTAGTCACGCAATAATTGATACCAACACAAATGAGTATTTACCCTGTATGAAGATTTTTGTTTATGTTGAATTGACAATATTACAATATGTTACTTTTGTGGTCACTACCGTATTTCTTCACCTATAAGCCGAGACCCTAAAAGTTAGAGACCTTCCAACGACTCGTGTTGTCCAAAAGAAAACGCAAAACCATCGGCTATAAGCCGAGAGCGAAATTCTTGATTGTAACCGGCCATTTGAGTGAGCGAACCTCAAGGGAAAAAATTGGGAAATGGCTCAATGAACACAAAAGCTAATGAATGAGAATAAACTCAAAAGAAAAAAAAGCGAATCAGTGAAGATGTAAATACTACTACGCAACTGTAGAAACACAACAATACTCTCAGTTACTTTAGCCTGACTAACGTTTCAATCGAGTATCTCTTTCGTCACCGTTATTTTTCTCATCATGCCAAAAGCACGCCACTCTTCGTATACTATGGCTTTCAGGATAAAAGTTAACGCGGAGGCTGAAGCTGTAGAAAACAGCTCGGAAATCGCTTGAGATTATGGACTTAGCGAGTCCATGGTGCGACGCTGGAGACGAGACCAAGCGACTATTCTTTCTGGCAAGCTTAAGATGTCTGCAAGAGGTGCAAAAATGGGCCGTTTCACTCCCAAGTGTCCCGAACTAGATGAGCAAGCGATGGAGTGGTTTTCACAGCAGAGAGACCCCATATTTCAATTGTAATGTGAAATGGGAAGAGGTTTTGCCGAGTTGAGTGAAATCGTCTTTCAATGCGTGGGAAGCAAAGAATCTGATTGGTGGTCTGAAGAACGTTTTGTCATGTCAATTTTAAAGCATGTCACGTAAAGAGCGCTGTAGTCACGGAATTTACAGTCATTTCGCATTAACATTAAATTTGTACTTTGTTTCCTTACTCGGAACCGGATAGATCAAATGACCACCACAAATCGTATAATATCAAGCCAAGCTTTAATAATTATTCGATCTAAAAAAGAAATACATTTATAATTCGCAATTAGAACAAACGCAAATCAAGTCTTTATCTTGTAACTAAATTAAAAAACTTCAATATAAACTAACTTCTGTGGCGGGTCGACACGTGCAGTACACTTTAGCAAGGTCAAATTTTGGTGTGATTTTTGGTGAAGAGAAAAAGTTTTGTCAGGAAATCTCCTTGTTAGCATGTAGGATGAAACGCTTATACAACATATCAATTAGCTAAATCAGTATGTAGCTTGTCAATAGAATTAACTTTTGTGAACATTCTTTGACTTCCGCCGGCAAAGGAATCAGTGATGCATCTGGACATTTTAGTTTTCTGAATACAGTAATTCTTGGAAGGTTTTTATAGATATGCAAAGAGGGAAAAAAAAACCCATCTATCGGTAATTTGGAGGTTGATTCATCTTTGAATTTATGTGTCACGCTTGTCATGCAACTGATATAATAATGTGGAGAAGTTTTATAAACTGCAAATTAAATCTGGCTAAAATGTGGTAGAGCATAACTTGATCATCAAAACAGCTCATAAAATCGTAAATAAATAAGGTAAGAGTATTATGCTAGATTTTTCTACAAATTGTAGTGATTTATGTCAGTAAACGGTGGCGACAAATAGGCACAAGATGTATATTTCATAGTCGCTAGCAAGTAAATTTTGCCGGACTTCGAGTTCATCTCACGATAGAACGACACAAATACACAAAGAAATTTTTACAGTAACTTTATAACCATTCTTTTTTCTTTTAAAAACTAGGAGCTCAGTAGATTCTGTCATATCGGTCACTGTTAAAACTGTCTTTGTTTTGATGCTACTTTTCGACATAGAAAAAGTATGTCGGACAAAAATATTCACCAAAAAATAAATATTTCTTTGCCAGCTTCAATAATGACAGGGGATTAAGTTTAGATAATAAAACAAAGGATTATGTTGACAGAAATACCGGAGGTCAAGTAAATTCGCTACATGAGGTCACACAACTCAGATAATATTCAGGGTGAAAATTTGCATATTTGAGCGGTCGAACGAAAAAATTCATTTTTTCGAAAACTAAAATATATTTTCACACAAAAACTACACCACAATTATTAGGACATATTGGGCTACAAAATACGAAAGAAGGAGAGAAAACGAATTTTGGGCGACTTGCCACAATATTTCAAATTTGTTCGATGGATGCTGACATCCTCTCTTAAAATGTTTGAGATTTTTTAATTTTTGGGATTAACTGCAAATGAAGTGATAGACAACGCCCTTACAGTGGATATGACGTAGAACATTACCTGCACAGCTCGGAGTTCTCCAGTCCAAGGACACCCAACGTAAGAACATTTCACCTCGAGATCCAGAATTTTGCGATGAAAAGCGACATCTGGAAATATCTGATAACCCAGACACAGGGAAATGTTTTTTACTCTATTTGTAATAAAGACAATTCTCCTTTTCCAGCATTTCTCCCAGTGAACCGTGATCAATCACAGACATTGGTGAGTAGAAGATAATTAAGCGATGGAACGCACTTTCTATCGACTTACCGGCGTAATAACCCACCCATGATGTTGGGAGAACCCGAGAAACGTTTGTCAATCACTTGCCTCCGCCAACTCGCGGTTTACAAACTTTCCTTGTGTTCTTCAAAATCCCAAGTAAGTTATTAAGCTGGTAAACCAATAGAAAATGCAGACTATTGCTTCAAAATAAACTTTAATTTTCAGTGGGTTTGCCCTCGAAGAATCTGGCTTATTTTATAAAAACACAAACATTTACATGAACATGAACGTCGAAGAGTGAGGATCCTATGCCAATTAAAACAAATTTCTGCGTTTGTGACAAACGAAAGAGCAACGTTGTTTCCTACCCTTGTGCCTCAGTGACATGTTTTGTTTTGACTTCATTTTGCAATAGGGGCCATCCATTTGACGGAGACTGCATTTCGAATTATGAGTTAAAATGCCTAAGGATCTGTTCACTGAGAGCAGAACGTGGAATCGCTAGTTTGCGTGACCCACAAGTAGGAAGTTGTACGTTGTCATTACCTTGTCACGTGAAAGAGGCTGTCTGTCAACTGGACATTTTGGAGAATGGCTCCTGAAAGAAGGAAATTTGCAACAGCAGGCAAAAAAAATTCAGAAAGCAAACAAAATATTAACAATCGTTCATCATGTGTATTATAATCATTTACTTTCAAGTCTTGGCGTTTTTCATCGCTCAGCCATATTCTGTCGCGTGAGGAAGTATAATGGTGGACTTGCTGCATGTAATTAACATTTGCATTTAAAAGACAAATTATAATTAGTTTAAGTCGATTCATATTTAACAAAGTAAACAAGAAATATCATATCATTCGATGACTCTCTTAAATGTGCTTGTGCTGAAGCAATCGAAGACACCTAAAAGGCAGCCAACAACTATTTCATGTAATATTTGATAGCTTTCCGTCGCATTCATAATTACTCACACCAAACTCGAACCTGTTTGAATTGTTTTATGCTGGATAAAGCTATCTAGCAGTTACTTATGTATAGCTGAGACACACTATGATACCCTTGGGAAGTGACTCAACCGGTCAATATCGTTATTCAACTTTCAAGTAAGCTTGATTGTTTTTAGTTGTAACTTGTTTCGACATACAATGATTCGCCCTTACCTCAACAAGCTCTCTGAGCATATTTTACAAAGTCTGTGGCCACATCCTCCAATCTGTATGGGATCTTTCATTGTTAACTGACACACAGGGCATTCAAAATCATCGGGAACTACACTTGTAAACTCAAAATCATAGCCTCCAAGCTCTGGAATATTCTGACCCGCCGCCATTGTGATCTGGGTTTCAGAACGAAGCCGGAAGAGAGAATTAGATGTACGCATGTGTGACTTCCGAGAAACAAACCGAGGGGGAAACAAGGAAATGAGAATTTTCTGAAAAAAATGATTTCAGGAAATACATAGAATACTAAGCCAGGGGTAGAATAAAACCCCGAAGCAAAGTGTGTTATATCCATTGGAGCGCTCTGTCTGATGTGTGCATAACTCTGAGCGAGAAACTGGCCCCCACGCCTTCCCTTAGGGTACATCATAAAAGATTCTGAAGAGTATTTAGGGATACATTAAGGTCTGTTTACGCACTGCTATTATGAAAGATGTAAACGAAAAGAACTTTGAGTTAAATTATTTGCTGGTAGCGAATATGTCACGCAAGGAAAACACTCGATAGTAGGAGAAGTGTCATAAATAGCTATTGGGTAGACTTAATTTTTCGAAAGACAGGTTCCAGTGTAATTCCTAAATATATCAATAACACCCTTTGAATCATACTTGCTTCCCAAGCAGAAAAGTAGCCACAAACATTATGAATAAATAAGTCCAATACGCATGTACTTATCTTGAATTTGGAGCGATTATTTGCAGCTGCATCATAATACAATAACCTGACTTTTAAGGCATGAGACACATTTTTGTGTTTCTGACATAAGCATCCACTGGAACAGGCGCACAAGAAAGCCAGTGACCTTCATTTATATTTCAGTCTGTGACCATTAAACAAACTACAAAATTGAAGCAATCCTCGAATACGACTTTAGGTGGGATTTGCAAGTTAAGACATGTATGAGCTGTTATAAATTTTCCTTTCCTTTACTTTTGCACCTGACAGCTTTAAATAGGAACTATTTTCTTAAACAGCATTTAGTTTTAGTTGTATTCTTCACTGCTTGTCTCACTTCTGTGATTTTCCAGTAATAAAGAATCGGGTTCGAGGATGAATGTAAGTCCCTGTAAGTTGCCTTACAAAAAAAATTAATGAGGATTGTCTGCTGTGAGTACACAAAGCCTCCACTAGGCCTTGGGGCAGATAGCAAGCGACTAAACCCAACTGCAGCCAAAGCACACTTACCACTGCTTTCCTGTTTCGCGACGTGTTCAATGGAGTTTCATGAGGAATTATTTGGTTATATTGATCATATGTTGGATAAAGTATTGTCTGTACCTGCGCGTGATGATGACGAAGAGTGAAGAAGATCCAGGCCTAGGTATTCTAGAAAACGGATATCAATACGCAAAGAGGAATCGCCAGATAGCTGCACCATAATGAGATGGGAAAATTCCAAAAATACATCACAAATCTGTTATAACTGTAACGACAACTGTACGCTTTGAAGTGACAACTAGCTTTTATTTCATCCCAAATAACAAGGCAAGAAGTCTGTCCACGCTGATTGCAATCATCGTCACAAGCGACACCGAGCTCAAACTATACCCTACCACGAAACTTGACATCAATGAGATGCGGCAAATGTTCCTTTGTTCGTATGCCGCCGACAAACTGAGAAACAGCCACAGGTTGTGCTACCAGTCCAACGCAAAGATCAGTTGCTGAGAGGCTACAGAGCAGCATTTTGGACGGCGGATGAAGGGAAGATTCTTTGAGGAGAGCGAAAAGGATCAGCGAGTTCAATAGAGTTGCACTAAATGACAACAGAATGTTGAAGACCGACAGAAATATCAGATGTTAGTGTAGTCACCAATGATATCTGCTGAGTAGAACAGGTCCACTACTTTTTTATTGTCCTGTCCGAAACTGTAGTTTTTTGTTTCCATTTTGTTCTAATCATGGTATAAACTATTCGTATTAGCCAATTCCACGTGAGTTGTCAAACACGCATGAGAGTCATTCATACGCGATTTCTATTGATTTGCATAATGCATGATCTTCTCCTTTACGACTTCAGCAGGTTAATAAGTAAATCGTTTACACTCGGTTTGCCGGTATCATTTCTTGAGGAGCAGGCAGTTTTTGTTATTACCAAGCAAGATGTTTTTTCTTCACTACATTTAATTATCGATTCATGTAAACAACTTTATAGATGTGAAGCACCGTAACGGTTCTCTTTCTTAAAATTAAAAAAAAGACCGGATTTCCAGTGAATGACTACGCTTTTAATATAGGAACTTAAATCAATAAGGCGAAAGTGAAATCATCTTCTTATGTTAACAAAATTTAGTTGGGCGAAGAAGGCATCCGCTTGAAATATTCCTTTTTGGAACTTAAGGGATAAGGTTGTGGTTCCATAACGTCATTTGTTTTTTTTCTATCATAACCGCTTACTTCTGCCTTCATTTCTCAATCTATTTGTCACCAATAACTTCGCACATTCGTATCTCACCAGAAAAGGCATTGATTACCGATATCATCAATTTCGAACCAATGTCAAATATTTTTTTGTGTTTTTTTCAAGGACCAAAATTTGGAATTCCTTGCCTCATTAGGCATTTTGAAACTCTTTTTTCTTTAAAAAGACATCTTCAAAGTCCTTTGCTAAATCGATTGATATACTGATGATCAAGATTGATGGTTTGGCAACAGAAATATTCCCAATGAACGCGTATCGCTCGCAAATACATCTTTTTTTTATTAAGCAAGGAGGCCTCCCTCGTAAAAGCCCCGTGGTTTCGGGAGGGTCCCTCTTCCATCCATTAAACCATTGTTTTTACAAGAATAATAAACTTAAAGAAACTCGAACAGGATGCAACAAAACTGATGTTAAGGAGGTGATCAACGGTTTGGATCCCAGCTGCGATGAGGTATCAGATACTGTCTTAGTTCATTTGAGTATGTCACGTATGGTAAGATTCTACTGCAGCAATGACGCCACAATATCACCAGAGTACACTAAGCTTAAGGTTTATGCAGACGGTCTTAACTATAAGGGTTCACACTGAAATTAGATTTGTGTAAAACATTTCCTGATCCAAAAAGTGATTTGAATCAAAAACCAAAATAACTTGCAAGGGAAAACTTATATTGAAAAAATAAACCACGTGCAAATCCTACTAAATACTCTGAGTAAACACGACAGAAAGGGGAGAGAAACCATGAGCCTTGGAAAATTGTATGAAAAAATCAGAGAAAGAAGCGCATCCTTGTGACATCAAGACAATGATTGATGAGCGTAACGTTTTCCAAAAATTGATATACATTTGGTTTCTTTTTTCATTTCGCTATTTCATTAACTGTATTCATCCTTCATATTGACAACTTGTATTGTTGTAGACTGACAACCAAGAATACATACCTTTTATCAAAGTAATTATGAGCTTTCATAGATTTAACTGGCAGGTTGTTACATTCATGGAAAATCAAATATTTACCACTATCAATTCTATGGTTTTGTCATGAATACACGATTCAAAGATGCCCAACACACAATTATTTCTGTGAGCATATATTGCAGTTATGCTAACAATGCAATACACGTTATTTTCAATCTTCCTTTACTTCTTCATCTACTCATTTTTTGAGCTGGTGAGCTTTGTACAGCGAATGGTTTCACTTGCATGTAAGAAATTCAGATGGGTATTTACGGATACGAAATTTTACATAATTTCTTTTGTTTTGCTATATTGTCGTTGATCGATAAGAATTTAAAGATAGAGACAAAACTTTTGAATCTGTAATACATGTTTCGACAGAAACTTCTGTCATCTTCAGTTAATTAATGTACAAAGCGTTTGTTGATGTTATCATTTTTCCTCTGTTATTGAAAACTCGTCCCAGACAGCTTAATCTTAAATTTTTTGCGGACTTATTTTAGGGTGGAGGTGCCTTTGGGTAGAGTAAGAACTTTTGCTTTGCTTTTTATCTGCACTTGGTCATCAACACGCGTCTATTTTTCCGCTAAATCAACAGTTGTCCTCAAAGGCTACCTGCGCTTTTCATAAATTTCTTATATTGAAGTGTGTAACGGTTATTTGACTCGAAACTCGGGTAGCAATTGGTTAATTTCAGATCTAGGCCTTTTCGATGAAAGTGAACGAGAGACCATGAAGTTGAGTCACATAAAAATGTTGAAAAGCTGTTGACGGCGGGATAAGCTTACAAGCTAATTATGATGACCGACGAATGAACACCTGCATCAAAAGAGATTGCAACAGGAGTAAGATGCAATTCTTTAATACCATACGTTTGTAAAATCTTTGAAATTCTACGAGCCTTATGACAAGCTATGTTAACTTATGTTAACTTCTATTGAATTTACAAACAAACGGACCAAGGAGTAGTTGCTGTGATTGGTCGACGAAATCTCCTATGAGCAGTGAACGAACATCTCAAGATGGTAGACAGAGACTGTTCTGACTTTTCTTGTTCTTTCACATTGGAAGCAAAGAAACAGCAGCCACATTACTGTTATCGTCATCTGTAACACTCAATGACGTCACAAAACTCAATGAAGAGGCCTCTACCTGGTGCACTGAGGGTTAATACAAAAAACAAAAAAGATCTTTTGTCATTTTTAATAAATCAAACCGAAAACAGATGTGCATGAGTAAATGGAGACGTTACAGAATTAATTCCGTCCTTATCAATATATCATACGCCATCGATGTCATGTGACGTATAAATCAAATAAGAATTTCTGGGATAAAAAAATTATCTTAAGCGAGAGACATAACATTACCCACCAGCTAAAGTATCTTTTTCCCTCATACGTTCCGTTGCTCTCACGGTGACTTAAACAACTCGGTACTTCTGAAAGAAGAAAAAAAAAACTTTCAGTTATCTAAGGTAAAAAAAAAATCATTATAAAAAGGCGACTCTGTTTTACTACTAAAAAACACACTAACCAGTTGTTTTAATCTAAATGCAGGTTTAGTTTTATTATGAATGAGGGGAGAACCTTTTTCCACAAACCCTCATCATGAAAGGACTACGTTTCGATCTTGGGGCGGGTTATCTCGGTATTAAACCTCCATGAGTACTCTTGTTTTATTGCCTTCAGAATACAATTTCATGATGCCTATCAATGTTAGTGCTTTAAGACAGCTCCCTAGACCAAAGCGTATAAAATAGCTCTTCTGAACGAAAGATACTTGATACTTACACTTCCAGCAGTCGATGTACAGTCTTTTTAAAGTCTCAAGTTCACGAACTTACTCACTTTTACTACGAGCAATAACTTTCTCTTAATTTTATCAGTACATTTCAATGTTCATAGATCGATATTCACCTTCACACGGATCTAATTCTACGCCGATGAAATCAAGTACACGTCCGTGTACAAGTACAGGTCCGACGTACTTGACTGTTCCTCGAAGTTTCCTAAACCTTTGAAAAAACAATACCTTCATACCTACTTCAATATAATGGATTGATTTAGGCTTGAAGCCCTGTTTCATAGTATCACCTGTAATAAATAACAAAAACAATAGATAATTAAAATGACCACAATACTAAATACATCACGATCATCAATTAGACTTCATTTAAGGCCGGCATAACCCAGTAGTTTTACTCGGAGTTCAAATGACTCAGCTCTTCGTAACGTTAGCTTATGAGCGAATCTACACACCAGTACCCCCTTCCACCCCTCAAAAAAATAATCTTACCAAATATTTTAATAAAGTCCGGGTATAACGCGCGCTGTCATTGGTTGAAACAGCGTGTTCTACCAGAGTATAGAACATAGAGCAAGAGAAATGAATAAAGGGGTAAGTTTCTAAAGAAACTATGGTGCTGCGTCGGTGGGAGAGTATAACATGTAATTTGGAGTTAACAACTGAGTTGAAAACGAAAATTGGCCATCCTAAAGAGTAAAAAGGCTGACGTTTCGAGCATTAGCCCTTCGTCAGAGAGATTGAATCCGGCGGAACAAGTGAGTCGGCAAATAGAAGGACTAAGGGACTTGTCAGAAATTAGCAGGGGGGGAGGGGGGGGGGAATTTTAAATTTGGGTTCGGAAATTAGGTGACCCATCCCTGCAATGGGAGTGAAATTTGCTAACCCTCCCCTTGAGCTTGGCCTAAAATATCATGACCCTCCCCCTCTTGTATAAATGATAAAATCTAGTTCTTGCAATACACTAGGGTGCGTCAGTATTATGAAAACTCAAAATATATTTCTAATCTGTTCTTTGTCATGCTACATACATACACATACACAGATCACTCGACTCTCCTATTTCTCCCAATACAAAGTCTTCATCACTAGAACAAGTGGGTAATGCCTCATCCCCTTCATCTACCTCACATTCATCATGATCATCCACCTCTTCCAAATAAAGAACTTCCTTTTTCTTCTGTGGGTGAACCTCTACATGATCACGGGCATATATTTGCATGACCCTCCCCCTTTTAACTGCCCATTTTTCATGACCCCTCCCTTTTCTGAGGCTCAAAAAGTTGTGACCCCCCCTCTGTTTCCACCCCCCCTCCCCCCCTGCTAATTTCTGACAAGTCCCTAAACAAAGGTTTGCAACATGTCAAGCGCCGTAATTGGCGTGATTATAACGTAAGCAGATACGAAAATCCTCAAAGAAAAAGAAATTGACATTCCGAGTTTTGAAGGTTTTCACACTCAGTTAGATTGCAAGCTTACATACGGTAATAAAAATCAAAACACAGTTGACACTCGTGTAGTACATATAATTTCGTGTTCAAAAACAAAACAGAACAACACGGGAATGATAAAAAAATATAGCCAAACTGGCATAACTGTTAAAATTCATCAATCATGACGGTGTCAGAGCGACTGCAATTATGCTGAGGTCCAACACGGCTGGCTCATAGTGGCGATCTTCGGTCATCGCGGTGAAGCAAGCCTCAGAAATTACATCGGCCGCCCTTCGAGTGAACAAATAAGAGCTTGCTCTGGTATCCTTTCCGATGCGTTCAGTGGAAGGCTACATCACTCAAAGCAGCCGAGTTTTACGACGCCGTCATCCCGATCAATCTTTATATTCCTGTGATTTCGGTTGTTGCTCATTCATAAAACATACGCCTTGAGCAGTATGTTTTCTATCTATCATGGAAAAAACTCGCGTGTTTTTATGAGCCACAATTCGGCCGGATTTCACCGAACATTTCACTTTCAGATTCTGTATTAGAGACTAAATTACTTTAGGCAACAGTGTTGGATTCGACGTGCCAAACTATTTCAGTTTGTAAACTACTCAAGATTGTAAACTTTCATGGTTTGTGAACTTTAATGGTTTGACATTTTTGACAGCTTTAGTCTTGTTCAACCAATCAGATTAATTGAACCATTCTATCAAGGATTCTGATTGGCTTATTGTAGCTTGCTTTATGAGAGTATAGAGCATGCTGACGACACTGTTGATCGATTTGGAAAGAAAGTTTGTTTTAAAAAATAGAAAGCAATGAGTGGGGAATTTAGCGGATTCTTTATCATAAAACAAATAGAGAAGCCTTGACTCCGCTCTGTTCTATCGTAAGGCACGTGGGAAGCGGCTCGACTGCGTCTCGTGTGTCTCTCTACATTTCTTTCGTGCTTTAGCCGCTTCCTACGTGCTTTACCTTGCGAGTAATAATGTTTTAGAGTGTGATTATCGGTGAGACTTCCATTTTATCTACCTATAAAACGCACGCAACCATTTCTCTATTCACTCTGACGGAGGGTTACCGGTCGAAACGTCAGCTTTAGAAATTCTTTACGGTGGCCAATTTATGTCATCAACTCAGCTGATAAAACTGACCAAGATATCTTATTATACCCCCCATCGACGCAACGCCAAAGTTTCTATAGAAACTTACCCTCTTTAACATAGGCATTGGTTGCCCCTATCTTGTTTGTCTGGTCCTTCGTTTGTTTGGTCGCGGTTTGGTCCACCATTGCAGCTTGATATCGATCCTGGCCTGTCAGAAGTTCCACCTGCTGCACCAGACCTTGCACAGTGGACGTTAAGATGGCTATCTGCTGTGACTGGTCATTCAGAGAGGACATCAATCGCTCATTTTGTTGAGCATGATTCAAATCTTTGGCCATCAAACTGGCTATCTGCTGTGACTGTTCTGTATTTTTGGCCACCAATCTTTCTATCTGCTGTGACTGATCATTCAACTGTTGTGACTGATTATTCAACTGCTGTAACTGATCCTTGAATATGGATGTCAATTGCTCAATCTGCTTTGACTGATCTTTAACCTGATTCTGAGTGATCTCAAGGCTGCACAGAGCTAGGTTCAAGTGGCTTTCCATGTGTGATTCTAAGTGAGATTTCGTTCTTTTTCTTGGAAACTGAAAAAAAGACGATGTGGTCATTAAACTCTTTTAATACAATCCAAACATTAAATTTTTGTTAATTATTGATCTACTTGTTCCTTCCAGCAATAAACAGTTTGATTCAACTGCCGCACAGGTTATTAGGAATTTTTTAAACCCTACAAAATGAAAAATTTTTACATATTTGACATTCCGTTTTAATTCATTTTACAACATGATATGGAAATACAATACAAACATACGACCTCCCCGCCAAACCTGCAATTTAATATAAACTGAAAGCTGTTTCATACCGCATTTTGGCATCCTAAGTTCTTGTATTTACAATCAATTTCTGTGAAAGGACAGTGATCACGAATATGAGCCAAGAGCTAAAACAAAAAGATAGAGAAGATTTAGTCTTCTGTGAGCAGCCACAGGAATCCTCTCTCGTGCTTAGCGAAAAAAAATCATTCGGTGTCTCAAAATTACTCCTTAGATTTCGTAATGTATGAATCAGGGAACTGAATTCAGAGACAAAATTTAAAAATGTTCCCTAGTAGTGTAAGGCATTTTACTGCAAAGTTTAACGGAGCAAACTTCCTTGAAGGGATCGTTACGGTGTTATGGATTGTTTCCCTATTATGGAGCTACCTAGATTCAATTCTGGAAGGCCCATTTAAGGCAGAAAATGACGACCTTCATGTCCTCTGACTGAAGCCAGGAATATATTCAAAACAATAGTGCATGTTCTTTGACCATTTGAGCACGGAACGTCTCCAAATTGCTCACATAAAACAAGACTTAGCCTGTGACGTTTCAGATAGAGCAGCAATATGTCCCATGCGGGCTGTGTGCATGAACATTCAATTAAACTCTCGTTCGAATTACTGAGAATCACTAACAATATTAAATGTTACCTTTTCTCGTGGAATATTACTCAGACCACAATTGTTGGCACATTGAACCGGAAACATTTGACAGACGTTATGATGTTGCTGAAGAAAATCGAAAAGAAGTTTTTATAGCTAATGTACTTTCAAAATTCTCTCCGTCTTATTAAAATTATGACCAATAAAGACAGGTTGTTGTACTAACGAAATTTATGAAGTAAAATACCCACTTTTTTATCAGTAAGGGATCAAAGTTTTCGAACGCAACATTTAAGCCCAATTTAAGTAAGATGTTTCCGTGTAACAATTTTATATCAAATAAGAGAAGATAGCTAGAGCTTAAGAAAATCTTGACTCAATAAAGATTGAAATTCGTCACCACTTTCAGATGCTACCCTTGTAGAAGCTATATAAGAAACACATTTTTGTTAACAAACCTGCTTGTTTTTCACGATAAATGATCCTCGACAATATTCACAACTAACTTCCCTCCAGACACATTCCGTTGTCATGTGATTGTTCATATCTCGCATGGTGAGCTTCTCTTTACATCCTTCATTTGGACACTCCACTGCATTGAACAGGCATTCTGACTGATGTTTCTGAAATCATTATTTATCGATAATAAACTGTAATGTAATCATGATCCAATCTGCTAAGACATACAACAGGCTAAAGAAAAGAGAGACTTGATTGACAGCGAAACAATCGGTTAACTGACGGTTTAGGATCTACGAAAAGAAATGTGAAATTTACGTGTGACTTGTTGATAATAATGATATCCCTAAGACTAGAGATAAATATTTAATAAACGTTTAGTATAATAGGCACCTATCAAAGATTATCAGACAGGAAGAAAATCTGTCATGTTGCGCGCAAACTGCTGACCATGACACCTCAGATTGCAAATACCAGAATAACACCGCTGTTCAGTCCATATAGTTACTATTGTGCAAGAAACTGTTGAGTTGAGCTATATATGCTTCGTATAACATCATGTCTTGCTGCCTCGATGGTTAAGAGTAGCAGGAATAAGTGCAATGCTTGCTTATTATGTAGGAGACAAATTAAAATGTTTGAGATTTTTAATTTTTGGGATCAACTGTGAATGAAGTGATAGAGAACGCCTTTACGGTGAATATGACGTAGATACATTACCTGCACAGCTCGGAGTTCTCCAGTCCAAGGACACCCAACATAAGAACATTTCACTTCGAGATCCAGAATTCTGCGATGACAAGCGACATCTGGAAATATCTGATAACCCAGACACAAGGATATGTTTTGTACTCTACTTGTAATAATTAAAGACAATTCTCCTTTTCCAGCATATCTCCCAATGAACCGTGATCAATCACAGGCATTGGTGAGTAGAAGATAATTAAGCGATGGAACGCACTTTCTATCGACTTACCGGCGTAATAACCCACCCATGATGTCGGGAGAATTCGAGAAACGTTTGTCAATCACTTGCCTCCACCAGCTTGCGATTTACAAACTTTCCTCGTGTTCTTTCAACATCCCAAGTTGTTAAGCTGGTAAACCAATAGAAAATGCAAACTATTGCTTCAAAATAAACTTTAATTTTCAGTGGCTTTGCCCTCGAAGAATCTGGCTTATTTTATAAAAACACAAACATTTACCTGAACATGAACGTCGAAGAGTGAAGATCCTACGTCAATTAAAACAAATTTCTGCGTTTGTGACAAACGAAAGAGCAACGATGTTTTCTACCCTTATGCCTGACATGTTTTGTTTTGACTTCATTTTGCAATAGGGGCAATCCATTTGAAGGAAACTGCGTTTCGAGTTGTGCGTTAAAATGCCAAAGGATCTGTTCTCTGAGAGCAGAACGTGGAATCGCTAGTTTGCGTGACCCACAAGTAAGAAGTTGTGCGTTATCGTTACCTTGTCACGTGAAAGAGGCTGTCTGTCAACTGGACATTTTGGAGAATGGCTCCTGAAAGAAGGAAATTTGCAATAGCAGGCAAACAACAAAATCAGAAAACAAACAAAATATTAAAAATCGTTCATCGTGTGTATTATGATTATTTACTTTCAAGTCTTGGCGTTTTTCATCGCTGGGCCATATTCTGTCGCGTGAGGAACCCATAATGGTGGACTTTTTGCATGTAATTGCCGGAAAAGGAGAACACTGCAACAAAGTAAACGAGAAAGATCATATCATTCGATGACTCTGTTAGATGCACTTGTGCTGAAGCAGTCGAAGACACCTAAAAGGTAGCCAACAACTATTTCATGTAATATTTGATAGCTTTCCGTCGCATTAAGTACTCACACCAAACTCTAACCTGTTTGAATTGTTTTGTGCCGGATAAAGCTATCTAGTAATTACTTATATATAACTGAGACACACTATGATTCCCTTGGGAAGTCATTCAACTGGTCAATATCGTCATTCAACTTCCAAGTAAGCTTGATTGTTTTCGGTTGCCACTTCTTTCGACATGCAGTGATTCAGCATTACCTCAACAAGCTCTCTAAGCATATGTTACAAAGTCTATGGCCACATCCTCCAATCTGTATGGGATCTTTCATTGTTAACTGACACACAGGGCATTCAAAATCATCCGGAACTACTCTCGTAAACTCAAAATCATAGCCTCCAAGCTCTGGAATATTATGACCAGCCGCCATTGTGATTTGGGTTTCAGAACGAAGCCGGAAGAGAGAATTAGGTGTGCGCATGTGTGACTTCCATAGAAACAAAACTAGTTCCCAGACTCTTTGAGACTCAAATTAGGCCCTCTGACTCTAGAAAAATCCCCACACATATTCAATAGTTGTGGGAAAAAACACGCATTAACAGATCAAAGAACAACAACAGAAGCGGGGGATGGAGGAGCACCGCACAAAACTAATTTGTACTGAGTACCAACTTGCACAGCGTGCTGAGTCGAGGGGGAAACAAGAAAAGGAGAATTTTCTAAAAAAATGATTTCAAGAAATACATCGATTACTAAGCCAGGGGTAGAATAAAACCCCGGAGCAAAGTGTGCAATATCCACTGGAGTACTCTATCTGGTGTGTGTATAACTCTGAGCGAGAAACTGACCCCCACGCCCTCCAACAGGGTACGTCATAAATGATTCTTAAGAGTATTTGGGGAGGTTGAGAAACAAAGCCTCCACTAAGCCGTGGGGCATATGGCAAGCGACTAAAGCCAACTGCAGCCACAGTGCACTTGCCACTGCTTTCCTGTATCGCGACTGTGTGAATGAAATTTGTCTTGTATTGTATTACCTTCCGCTGAGGGGAAAAAAAACGTAAGTAACACAGTTTCACTCCAATTGTCTAATTTAATTTTTTTTTCTCTTCCTGGGTCGAATATTGATAAATTGCAATTTCGCCGTTGTCTATCAGCATTTTGTTGAGAAGAGTCTTCCACGAACATTTTACTAAAGAAGGGAAGAAATACGCGAAACACTTTGCCCGTAAACGGTATTGAAATGCGTGCGTGGTAAAACCTGTAGAGAGAAAGCATTAGTAAACAACTTATTTAAGTCTCTGTCTCTTTTATCAAGAAACAGTCAGATTCATCCGCGTATGGAATTAACATCCGAAACAATAAGGCTTCAGTAACATCAGTACACTGTACTACGGCAACAAGCAAGTCATTAAAGCTAGCACGGTTGCTTTCGTTTGATTTCGTCGTTATTCCTGCATATGGAAAGTCAAACAAATATTCGTGTTCTTAAAAATTCCCGCCTGCTTATATAACTCAAAAATGCACTCGGCGCGTTTTTTATTTCTCTAAGAAAATACAGATGAAAGGAAATCCAGCTGTTTTGCTTTAACCGGTTAGTGGAATATATCAAGGACGACAATGACTTTTATTTCTGCCAAATTGCATGTGATCCCATGTTGATTTTGATCGAGAATACTCTCAACGATGGAAGTCTTTATCTCCAGCTGTCTGATGACAGGTAAACTTTGCTTAGCTGGCTACAAATGACTAGAATGTTCTGGTTTCTCATGATTTCAGACATATACGCTTACAATTACCGTTCATGATTTGTGATAATTTACTCGCTTATTTATTACCAGGTATTAGAGCTTGTCTTATGATAAAGCCTAAACGTTTTCTTCTTTTTTTCTTTTTTGAACCGGTTCTTCTAGTTTCAAGTCTACATTTCTATTCGATTTTGTTGTTGTTGTTGTAATTTTTTTTTCACAAAACTACGCTGTTACTGATTTTCTAGCATGCAGTGAAAAATAAATCCTGTCGTCTGAATGAGATTAGATCTTGAAGGATGCTTTCTTTGAAAGAGACTGACCGCTCCACTTATAGCAAAAGTCACCATTAGAGTTTAGGGAAGAGTTGTTTGCCTGAAATATATATTTCTGGCTTGTAGAAACTGATTGGTGAGCCGCCGTTGTGTTATTTGTTGTTTGCCAGTTGCTGTTAGTCAATCTTAAGTGTTTGCGTTCTTCGCTGTTTTTAATTCCGTGGTTGTCTGTGCCAGTAGCTGCTAACATCTCTTTCAAAGGGGAGTCTGGGGAGTTACCGATGAGCTCCCGTGCTCAAATAAGGGCCCTCCCCCAAGTACGAGCCGAGCCTCCGATGCCATAATATCAAACAAGCGCCTCTCTCGAAAAAGAACAGCGTCTTCCCTCGCTTTCTTAATGAGTAGGGAAAAAAGGAAAACCTGTTAATTCCAGTTTTATTTATGACATTTAAAGCAGCAACTACAACCGAATCAATACAGGAGAACAGTTTCCGCTTCCGGTTATTGCTATCTCCATACTGACTTGACGTCTACGTGGATTTTGCAGCTTCTGTTTTTTTTTTCTATTTAAGATTTAGCCAAAATAAAGTTACAGCTCGTTGAAAAAAAAAACTTAATAAGCACCCCCAAGATTAACCGCCATTCTTCGTAAAAGTTCTCCCAATTTGCCCAGTTTGTGGCGGTCTTGGCTTTTCAAAATTGCACGTTTACAAAGTATCGACCTTAATTTTGAAATTTCAAAAACTCAGAAAAATTCTCCGTGCATGACAATTGAAAGACAAAAAAACCGGAAAGGAGGAAAAAGGTTAAAAGATTATCGAGAGTCAAAAAGTTTATTCAATGCTTTCATGAAGAGACATCTGGAAATCAAGAATCTATGGTATCTACTTTAATACCATACGTTTGTAAAATCTTTGAAATTCTACAAGCCTTAAAACAAACCTGTTAACTTCTATTGAATTTACAAACAGACGGTAGACTAAGGAGTAGTTATTGTAATTGGTCGACAAAATCTTCTTTGAGCAGTGAACGAACATCTCAAGATAGTAGGTAATTTATAGTAAACAACTCAGTTGAAAACGTAAATTGGCCACCGTGAAGAGTTAAAGAGTTAAAAAGCTGACTTTTCGAGCGATAGCCCTTCGTCAGAGCGACTGCAGGAACTGTGGGTGGTTTGTGGGTTTATATGCAGAAAATGGAGCTACGCTATTGGTGGGAATATGCATATTTTGACGAGAAAAAAAGAATAAGTAAATGTTAGGAAATAGGGTATTGTTCATCGTGGAGCTGGATGATAATTTAAATTTGCTCTGCTATCTCACGAAAAAGTCACTGGATGTGATTTTGTCGTGAGAAATTTATATTATCAAGAATAAATTATTTGAATGAAAAGCGCTCGTTAGTTCCGTGGGATTAAGAGTGCTGATTTGGAAGATAAACTTTTGTTCTAGTGTTTTGCGGCTTTGCGAACTGCCTAGATGTAAAGAACGGCTGCTAACTGCCATATGTTGTTTAGAATGATAGAGAGATTAAAGTGTCTAGCGACTGGTTTGGATGCGTCCTTGTCATTTCTTTCTTTGTCGCGAAGGTGTTCCCGGAATCGGTCACTTAGTCGTCTCCCTGTTTCACCAACGTATAACTTATTCCAATAAGTGCAAGTTATGCAATAAATGACATTGGCAGAGGTACACGTAAAGTGATCATGAATTTTATTGAATCTCTTGGGGTTCCGATATTTCCTCTACGTTATGAATGAAAGGACAAGTTTTGCACCATGAGCGAGCGCATTTGAAAGTTCCAGATTGGTCAATGGTTTGAAATGAACTTCTGACCAAAATCTCAAGATGGCGGACAGAGACTGTTCTAACTTTTCCTGTTCTTTCACACCGGGGGCCCAGAAACAGGAGCCACATTGCTGTTATCGTCATCTGTAACACTCAAGAACGTTAACAAACTCGGCGAAGGTGCCTCTACCAGGAGCACTGAGGGTTAATAAAACAAACAAAAAAGATCCTATGTCATTTTTAATGAAACCAACCGAAAACAGATGTGCATGAGTAGATGGAGACGTTACAGAATTAATTCCCTCTTTATTTGACGCCATTGGGTTACAAAAATTACCTTAAGCGAGAGACATAACATTACCCACCAGCTAAAGTATCTTTTTCCCATATGTATTCCGTCACAGCTAGCGAAAGACCACGATAAATCTCGCTCTGAAAAAAAATTTCAGTTATCTAAAGTAAGAGAAAATCAATATAAAAAGCGAGCCTCATTTACTACGAAAAAACACGCTAATAAGTTGTTTTAATCTAAATGCAGGTTTAGTTTTACTATGAATGAGGTGAGAACCTTTTCCCACAAAACTTCAACATGAAAGGACAACGTTTCGATCTTGGGGCGGATCATCTCGGTACCAAACTTCAATGAGTACCCACGTTTTACTACCTTCAGAATACATTTACACGATGCCTATCGATGTTAATGCTTTACTAAGACAGCTATTTTATTTTATTTAACAGCTTTATTGGGTACGTCTACAAGCTCAAAATGAATACATATACAAGGAAAGAGACAAAAAATGGATAGACATACACCAAAAGGGTCAGTGCGAACGGGACATGGAGTCCCATAAGGGGCACTACCCTTAATAAAAACGAAAAAAAAAAAAAAAAAAAAATGAAAAATGTAAAAACTTACAGTGAAAAAGTGCTAGATAACTAAAAATCAATGACAGGGACACAACCTAACAATTGACCACGTGCACGGACTATTAACATCAAAAACTGAACGGACAAGAGAGAACATGTGTTTTGCTACAAAAGTTTGAAAGGCGGTCGGGTTAGAAAACTTGGACGGGGGTGATAAGGTACAGACGTAGTTCCAGAGTTTAACAGTTCGGTTGAAATAGGAGGCCTGAAAGGTACTTGTTTTACATGAATGTGTTGTGAGATTGAAGGAATTACTTCGTCTGGTGCGGCCGTGGGAAATAAAAGAAACAAAGTTAAGGATGTTTAGATCCGTGTAGTTATTCAGACATTTGTAAAGAAACACAAGGTCCTTAAGTTCGCGGTCGTAGGCGAGAGGGAGCAAATTCAGCTTGATAAGCCGGTCTCGGTAGCTCATTTCCCCAATTCTGGTGCCTAGAATCCATCTTGTTGCACAGTTCGTATAAAATAGCTCTTCTGAACGAAAGATACTTGATACTTACAGCAGTCGATGTACAGTCTTTTTAAAAGTTTCAAGTTCACGAACTTACTCACTTTTACCATGAGCAATAACTCTCACATAATTTTATAAGAACATTTCAATATTCATATATCAATACTCACCTTCACCCGGATCTAACTCTACGCCGAGCCAACCTGGACTTCCTGATAAAGGTCCGACGTACTTGACTGTTCCTCGACGTTTCCCACCCAATCTAAGCAATACCTTCATACCTACATCAATATCATTGATTGATTTAGGCTTGAAGCTCTGTTTCATAGTATCACCTGTAATATATGACAAAAACAATAGGTAACTGAAATGACCATCCTACTAAACACACCACGATCATCAATTAGACTTCATTGATGTTTTTAGGTCATCAAAGGCCAATATAAACCAGTAGTTTTACTCGGAGTTCAAATGACTTGGCACTATGTTACATTAGCTTATAAGCGAATCTATACACTGTACCCCCTTCCCCCACCCCCACCTCCTCAAAAGAAAGTGTAATTCTATTAAGGAAGCTCCATAGGGTTTTTGCTCAACTGTTTTTCTAGAAAAATTTTATGTTTTTGTCCTTCAAGGTCGTTAAAAGCTATCAAAAGGCAATGGCCAAGGTTCGAACCATCAGAATGATTTTCGTTATCAAGCTAAGGCTCCACGAAGGGAGGCGTTCGCCAGCGATTATTTTGCTTTGCCTTTGATTTTCCTCGCTTTGCTTCGGTGAAATCTCTCAAAACTCTCACAATTTTTGAAAATGTTCCTGCCGATTATTTGAAGGCCGAAAAAAACAGAGGTTATAATAGCAGTTTCCTCGCTAATTGCAATTTTGTGTTGAATTCTAGCCCCTTTTTTCGTGCTTTACAACAGAATAGAGCGCAGTCAAGGCTTCTCTATTTGTTAACTCACTTGCCGAAAAATGTAGAAATGCGTCAGATACGAGTAAGAGTGTGATTCTTGGTGAGACTACCATTTTTCTACTTATAAAACACACGCAACCCAAAATGTCTCTATTCGCTCTGACAAAGGGCTACCGGTCGAAATATCAGCTTTAGAAATTCTTTATGGTGGCCAATTTACATCATCAACTCAGTGGATAAAACCAAGTTATCTTTCTATACCCCCATCGACACAGCACCACCGTTTATTTAGAAACTTACCCGGGCGTTCTTCTTGCTGCACCAGACTCCCCTCAGTGGACGTTAAACTGGCTACCTTCCGTGACTGTTCATTCAGAGAAGAAATCGATCGGTCAGTTTTTTGAGAATGATTCATGTCTTTGGTCATCAAACTGTTTATCTGCAGTGACTGTTCTATATTTCCGGCCATCAATCTTTCTATCTGCTGTGATTGATCATTTAACTGCTGTGACTGATCGTTCAACTGCTGTGACTGATTATTCAACTGCTGTGACTGATTATTCAACTGCTGTGACTGATCATTCAACTGCTGTGACTGATCATTCAACTGCTGTGATTGATCATTCAACTGTTGTGACTGATCATTCAACTGCTGTGACTGATCATTCAACTGCTGTGACTGATTATTCAACTGCTGTGATTGATCATTCAACTGCTGTGACTGATCATTCAACTGCTGTGACTGATCATTCAACTGCTGTGACTGATCATTCAACTGCTGTGATTGATCATTCAACTGTTGTGACTGATCATTCAACTGCTGTGACTGATCATTCAACTGCTGTGACTGATTATTCAGCTGCTGTGACTGATCATTCAACTGCTGTGATCGATCATTCAACTGCTGTGACTGATCATTCAACTGCTGTGACTGATTATTCAACTGCTGTGACTGATCATTTAACTGCTGTGACTGATTATTCAACTGCTGTAACTGATCCTTGAATGTGGATGTCAATCGCTCAATCTGCTTTGCCTGATCTTTAATCTGATTCTGAGTAGTTTCAAGGCTGCGTACAGCTAAGTTCAAGTGTCTTTCCATGTGTGATTCCAAGTGAGATTTGGTATTTCTTCTTTGAAACTGAAAAAAGAGGATGAGGTCATTAAACTCTCTTGAAACAATCTTAACATTCGATTTTGTCAATTGTTGATTTAATCGTTCCTTCCAGCACTGCGCAATTTAATTCAACTGGCGCACTGGTTAAGAAGAATTTTTTAAACCCTACAAAATGAAAAATGTGTATGCATTTGACAATCCGTTGTAATTCATTTTACAATATGACATGGAAATACAATACAAACGTACGACCTTCCCGCCAAACCTGCAATTTAATATAAACTGAGAGCTGTTTCTCACCACATATTGGCATCCTAAGTTCTTGTATTTACAATCAATTTCAGTTAAAGGACAGTCATCACGAATATGAGCCACGAGCTAAAACAAAAAGATAAAAAGATTTAGTCTTGAGTGAGCAGCCAGAGAAATCCTCCCTCGTGCATAGCGAAAACAAATCATTGGGCGTCTCGGAATTGCTCAGGAGACTGAATTTAGCGACCAAATTTAAAATTTTTTCCATTTTAGTTTAAGGCATTTTTGCCTGCAAAGTTTCACGGAGCAAGCTTCCTTTAAGGGATCGATCGATCGTTACAGTGTTATGCATCCCTATCACGGAGCTATCTAGATTGAACTGAAATCCTGGCAGGCTCAGTCATGGCAAAAAAATAAAGGCCTTAATGTCCTCTGCATGAAACCAGGAATATATTCAAAACAGTATCGCATGCTCTTTGAACACTTGAGCACGGAACGCCTCCAATTGCTCACACAAAACAGGACTAAGCCTGTGGTGTTTCATATAAAGCAGCAATATGTCCCATGCGGGCTGTGTGCATGAACTTTCTATTAAACTCTCGTTAGAATTACTGAGAATCACTGAGAATATTAAATGTTACCTTTTCTCGTGGAATATTACTCAGACCACAATTGTTGGCACATTGAACCAGAAACTTTTGACAGACGCTTTGATGTTGCTGAAGAAAATCGAAAAGAAGTTGTTATAGCTAATGTACTTTCAAAATTCTCTCCGTCTTATTAAAATTGACCAATAAAGACAGGTTTTTGTACTAACGAAATTTATGAAGTAAAATACCCACTTTTTTATCAGTAAGGGATCAAAGTTTTCGAACGCAACATTTAAGCCCAACTTAAGTGAGATGTTTCCGTGTAACAATTTTATATCAAATAGGAGAAGATACCTAGAGCTTAACAAAATCTTGACTTAATAAAGACTGAAAGTCGTCACCACTTTCAGATGCTGCCCTTGTAGAAGTTATATAAGAAACATATTTTGGTTAACAAACCTTCTTGTTTTTCACGATAAATGATCCTCGACAATATTCACAACTAACTTCCCTCCAGACACATTCCGTTATCATGTGATTGTTCATATCTCGCCTGGTGAGCTTCTCTTTACATCCTTCATTTGGACACTCCACCGCATTGAACAGGCATTCTGACTGATGTTTCTGAAATCATAATTTATCGATAATAAACTGCAATGTAATCATGATCCAATCTGCTAAGACATACAACAGGCTAAAGAAAAGAGAGACTTGATTGACAGCGAAACAATCGGCTACCTGACGGTTTAGGATCTATGAAAATAAATGTGAATTTTACGTGTGACGTGTGAATTGTTGATAAAATTGATATCCATAAGACTAGTGATAAGTATTAAATAAACGTTTAGTATAATAGGCACCTATTAAAGATTATCAGACAGGAAGAAAATCTGTCATGTTGCGCGCAAACTGCTGACCATGACACCTCAGATTGGAAATACTAAAACAACACCGCTATTCAGTCCAGATAGTTACTATTGTGCAAGAAACTGTTGAGTTGAGCTCCACAAGTTACCCTTATCTGCTTCGTATAACATCATGTCTTGCTGCCTCGATGGTTAAGAGTAGCAGGAATAAGCGCAATGCTTGCTTATGGGCGACCCTAAAAGCCGGAATGGTGGAATGGCGGAATGGCGGAGTGGCGGAAAATGACCCCAAATCCTAAAACACGAACCGGCGGAAAATGACCCCAGATCCTAAAACACGGAACGGCGGAAAATGACCCAAATCCTAAAACACGGAACGGATGTCAGGGCATGTTGCACAAATTTTGTACAAAGACACCAAGCGCTTGGCTCATTTATCCCCACGACGATAACGCGCGTGACTAAAATTAAGCGTTATTAATTATTTTTCTTTTACTGTGTGGTATAAATAATAACGAACCATTATGCATGAAAGATAGCTGCTTTTGGTGGTTGAATTTCGAAAAGATGTTCTCAACATAACTGTAAAAATTTGTTTGGGCAAATGTTTGAGAACAATACAAAAGCTTTTCAAAGTCTGTTAAAATGCAGATATTTGACCTTTTGCGGTCAACATTCCAGTCGCGAGTCACATTTTTTTATATTTACATATTACATATTTTAATATGTTTCAACCCATATGAGGCCGAAAAATGTACATAGAAAGATATTTCCAAATGCTCTAACCTCATTTGTCGCAGAAGACCAATCCAGAGACCATTTTAGTGTGATTCTCTTGTCGTTCGTCGTATTTAGGTCTGTATAAATGATAACGTCCGATGAAACCACCAACCCTGTCGAACACCATCTTGTTGTCAAACGTTCGATACCTTTCTTCACTGTGGCGTCTTATTCAACGGTTCAGTTGACTGCGAGTATTTCTCAGTTTACAATGCACTAAAAGATTACATCTGACAGTATAATTCAACGCTAAACTGAGTTGACTACAAACATGTACGCCCTTTGAGTGTTTGGCTTGTCACGCAATACCGGTGACAAAGGAACTTTAGGGGGTAGGTGAAGGGCAAAACTCCAGAATTGAACTCTTGGAACCTACAAAATATTTTATTTTGTATACATTTTTATAATAGTGTCATCGTTGTCTGGTGACAAACAGTAAAATACATTTATTTATTGCAGGAAATTATTCTTGTTTTTTTGGCGCTCTGTGCCTGTCGTACTTATTAGGGGTGTTTTTCTTTCCAATAAAATTGCAAGAAATACCCTAATAGCATGAAAGAGAACCTTTTGTACATTTTTACAACACCATGCTACAAAACGCAGTGGTGGGAATGTGTGGCTTATGTGAGGCTGGGATGTTCCGTGGCCAATAGGTGGGGCTTGCACAAGGGAGTGGTACTATTAACCACTGTTAACACTACCGTTTAAAACCTTAAACTACAGATGGGCCGACATATGTGCGCTCGGCACAAAATAAGGTCGATCTCATCTTCAGGACCGGTAAATTTGAAAGCCGACTCGTGACTTGCGATATTCTTAGTGCATGAAAGTAAAGGAACAATTCCCGTTTCACGCATTCGATCTCTAGTGTTGTAACCACAAACATTGCGTGACGACTCTCCGTATACAAAACTACGTTGCTACAACATATGTGAAGTGCTACTAAGCATCGATCAGATCTACTGCACCAAAAACCGAACAACACTCACAGTCAACTGAACCGCTGGATAAGATGCCACAGTGCAGAAAGATGTCAAACGTTTTATAACGAAGGTTGGTGACAGTTCGCAGATTGACAGGCAGTTTCATCGGACGTTATAAATACGACGAGCGACAAGATAACCACAGTAAAATGGTCTTTGGATCTTTCTTCTAGGGCAAATGAGGTTAGAGCATTTGGAAATGTGTACCCATGTACATTTTCCGGCGTCATATCGGTTGAATTATATTAAAGTATGTGTGTGACTCTGGAATGCTGACCGCGAAAGGTCAAATAACTGCATTTTAACGGACTTTGAAAAGCTTTCGTATCGCTCTCAATCATTTGCCCAAAGAAATTTTTACAGTAATATTGAGAACATCTTTTCGTTATTCTACCGCCCAAAGCTTAATCCATTTCAAGTTTTAGCACATGCTGAAAATTAACTTAATTTACGAAATTAAATCAATTTACACGCAAAGAGGAACGCGGTGTATACAAAAATCGTTTTGTAAGGTCTTATGAGGTTGAAAAAGAAGATTTGAGTGTTAAAAAGACGAGATTGTGATTCATTTTTGAATGCGAAGCCCTCAAACTTGTGCAATAATTTGCTTCTAAAAATGACGATTTTAACGGAATTTTTTTATTTGTATTTTCTCTGAAATAAAAAGATATTTTGCCAAAAAAAGTATCCAGTGATTTTAGTTATATTCTAGCCTATCTAATATTAAAATAAGAGAGAAATCGAACTTTTCACCCTTGCCGCGAAATTTGGAATTTGTCTGATTTTTACAGATAAGCGCTCTTAAGAGTCGATGTCAACATGCATCAGACAAACAGCGGCAAGTCCCCAAAATTCGTTTTCTCCCCTACTTTCGTATTTTGTAGCCCAATATTTCCTGATAATTGTGGTGTATTTTTTTGTGAAAATATAGTTTAGTTTTCGAGAAATGATTTTTTTTCGTTCGACCGCTCAAATATGCAAATTTTCACCGTGAATATTACCCGAGTTGTGTGACCTCATGTAACGAATTTACTTGACCTCCGGTATTTCTGTCGGCATAATCCTTTGTTTTATCATCTAAACTTAATCCCCTGTCATTATTGAAGCTGGCAAAGAAATATTTATTTTTTGGTGAATATTTTTGTCCGACATACTTTTTCTATGTCGAAAAGTAGCATCAAAACGAAGACAGTTTTAACAGTGACCGATATGACAGAATCTACTGAGCTTCTAGTTTTTAAAAGAAAAAAGGATGGTTATAAAGTTACTGTAAAAATTTCTTTGTGTATTTGTGTCGTTATATCGTGAGACGAACTCAAAGTCGGGCAAAATTTACTTGCCAGCGACTATGAAATGTACATGGTGTACCTACTTGTCGCCACCGTTTATTGGCATAAATCACTACAATTTGTAAAAAAACTAACACCCTTACCTTGTTTATGTATGATTTTATAAGACCAGTAAGCTGTTTCGGTTATTAGATTACGATTGGGTATTACTTTTTGCCAGAGGCCCAGGTTTTACGTAGTGTTTTCCCCTACCCCCTGTATATCATAAGCTAGTCACGCAATAATTGATACCAACACAAATAATTATTTACCCCAGGGTTTGAGCCAGGCCGCGCCATTGCGCCAATCCCGCAATAAAATTTAAAATGTCCCGTCCAAAAATGATTCAGGGGTCAATTTGTCCCCTGAAAAAGCGAGCGATTTTTGCGACAAATTTTACTGAAGTATTTGTGCCCAAAAAAAAATTGCAGGAGTTGAAATTCAACATAAATTCGACTATAAACGGCACAATTTTTCAATAAACAATTTGGTTTTAGCCGCAGAATTAATACGCTAACAGCAATTTTTGTGAAAGATAAGAGAAGCAAGATTTAGATGTTTGTTTTGTCTCATTTTGACAACATCGGAAACTGACCAATCAGAAGCAGTCATTCCCACGGCTTCTGTAAACATTGCAACACGATCTGACAGAAATCGGCTGAGTAAAACGTTGTTTTTTTAAACTACAAAATTGTGATTCAAAATAAAGGACTTTTAGACTTATCCTGACTCTTCTTCTCCCAAAACCACTTTAGTAGTGTTTCATCCAATTCTGGATACTTTGACAAAATGTTCAAAATTGCGGCTTTTTCCCCCGAAATTGTCCCCAAAGCATTTCATGCTCTCGCCACGCTCTGGTGAATGGTTAAGAGTTTACAGAGAAAGATAAAAAGAAGCATGCCACATTACAATATAACTTGTTGCTATTTCATTAAATGTTTAAAATTTTAGTTCAGTTTTTTCAATTTCAGTTCAGTTTCAATTTCAGTTTGAAATTTTCCCTATGCTTAAGCGACCCTCAGAAATGGAAAATGTCCCCCCAAAAATAATCTAAAGGGACAAATTGACCCTAAATAGTCAAATCCTAGCTCAAACCCTGTTTACCCTGTATGAAGATTTTTGTTAATGTTGAATTGACAATATTACAATATGTTACTTTTGTGGTCACTATCGTATTTCTTCACCAATAAGCCGAGACCCTAAAAGTTAGAGACCTTCCAACAACTCGTGTTGTCCAAAAGACTCGTGTTGTCCAAAAGAAAACGCAAAACCATCGACTATAAGCCGATAGCGAAATTCTTGATTGTAACCGGCCATTTGAGTGAGCGAACCTCACGGGAAAAAATTGGGAAATGGCTCAATGAACGCAAAAGCTGATGAATGAGAATAAACTCAAAAGAAAAAAAAGCGAATCAGTGAAGATGTAAATACTACTACGCAACTGTAGAAACACAACAATACTCTCAGTTACTTTAACCTGACTAACGTTTCAATCGAGTATCTCTTTCGTCACTGTTATTTTTCTTATCAAGCCAAAAGCACGCCACTCTTCGTATACTATGGCTTTCGGGATAAAGGTTATCGCGGAGGCTGAAGCTGTAGAAAACAGCTCGGAAATCGCTTGAGATTATGGACTTAGCGAGTCCATGGTGCGACGCTGGAGACGAGACCAGGCGACTATTCTTTCTGGCAAGCTTAAGATGTCTGTAAGACGTGCAAAAATGGGCTGTTTCACTCCCAAGTGTCCCGAACTAGACGAGCAAGCGATGGAGTGGTTTTTACGGCAGAGAGACCAAATATTTCATTTGTAATGTGAAATGAGAAGAGTTTTTGCCGAGGTGAGTGAGATCGTCTTTCAATACGTGGGAAGCAAAGAATCTGATTGGTGGTCAGAAATACGTTTTGTCATGTCAATTTTAAAGCATGTCACGTAAAGAGCGCTGTAGTCACGGAATTTACAGTCATTTCGCATTAACATTAAATTTGTACTTTGTTTCCTTACTCGGAACCGGATAGATCAAATGACCACCACAAATCGTATAATATCAAGCCAAGCTTTAATACTTATTCGATCTAAAAGAAATATATTTATAATTCGCAATTAGAACAAACGCAAATCAAGTCTTTATCTTGTAACTAAATTCAAAAACTTCAATATAAATTTACTTCTGTGGCGGGTCGACACGTGCAGTACACTTTAGCAAGGTCAAATTTTGGTGTGATTTTCGGTGAAGAGAAAAAGTTTTGTCAGGAAATCTCCTTTTTAGCATGTAAGATGAAACGCTTATACAACAGATCAATTAGCTAAATCAGTATGTAACTTGTCAATCGAATTAACTTTTGTGAACATTCTTTGACTTCCGCCGGCAAAGGAATCAGTGATGGATCTGGACATTTTAGTTTTCTGAATACAGTAATTCTTGGAACGTTTTTATAGATATGCAAAGAGGAAAAAAAAAACCCATCTCTCGGTAATTTGGAGGTTGATTCATCTTTGAATTTATGTGTCACGCTTGTCATGCAACTGATATAATAATGTGGAGAAGTTTTATAAACTGCAAATTAAATCTGG